CCGGCGTTCAGTACTATTTCATATTGTTTTACAACACATGGTTTTAGCCCTCTGGTGGGAAAGACTTTAAAACAAAACTTACAACAGTTACTTTTCTCAACAACTGAAATTTAGAATAGTGTGATTAAGAAAAATATGCGAATTGTTTTCAATCTCAAATTAATATTGAAATGCACAGGTTTAGAATTTTCTACAGTGAAAAGTTTTTGGAACTTCAGTGTTCAAAAAAGTATACAAAAGCTAGAAGTTAAGAACGTATTCAATGAGTGAGCATCGGATTGCGAAGCAATCCGAAATGAACTGCGAAAGCAGTTCCGGGGGTTGGCGAGCGCCAGCGAGCAGGGGGCGAAGTCTCCTAGTATTAAGAAAAAGTCATTAGAAACTGTCAGTTTTCGACACTTTTCGAATTTTTAAAGGAATACTAAACAAATAGTTTTGAAAATTAAAGTACTTTAAAGGCTTACAATTAGTCACAACTTTTTCATACAAATTAAAACACTTCAGAAATCAGCCAAATTTGCATTTGGACCAAAATTATTTACAAAATTCGCCTAAAGTTAAAAATAAAATGCTGTTTAAAATAACAAACAGACGTCTTATTAGGAAATTGAAATAAAAATTACAGAGTTCTTTATCCTAAAAAATCTGTTTTTTTAAATGTGGAGGGATACAGGTGTTTGATAGCAATAGTTAGAGAACACATGTGCTAAAAAATTTTTAACACGAAATTCAAAGCGAGGGCTTACGTAGCTTTAAAATTTCAGAGAAACGAAGAAAATGGTATAAAGAAAGAGAAATTTTTATGAGAAAATTGGTTTCTCTATAAATAGAAATATCATGTTTTGGTAAAACTTCTCCTTACCTTCGATGGCCTAGATTCGAATCCCAGAGATGGCTTATCAATACGAATCCTGCTCTATGTCGCCCCAACCACAGTGACGTAAAATATCATCATCAGTAAACAGAACGGACTTTAGGTTAGAATCCTCTTGCCATCAAGCTAAGTACGAGAGATTATCGTGATTTTCCTCTCCACAAAACGCAAATGCGGGTTAGTTCCATGAAAAAGTCTTCAACGAAGGTTTGTCCAATACTAGACCCAGAAGTTCCCTTGTTTTCAGGGTTAGGTTCAAACTTACAAGGCTACGGAGTTGAACATTGATAGTCGTTAACTCAGAATTGGGTCGGTTGTTCAAACACCGGCTATAAAATAAAATATTACTATAATTAGTGAATGCTTGTTTGGTAATTTTGTGACAGCAATAGTTTGGTAATTTTTAGAGACTCTTTAAAACACACGAGTGCCTTAAAATGTATACATGAAAATAAATAAACATTTTCGGGTAAATTTGTCGTAGTAATTTTATAATTAATTTCACAATGTTTAATATTAACATACAAAATATCGTTAAAAAACTGTAAATTAACATGTAATAAATCAATATGTGAATAATGAATGTATAAGTAATTTAAACATTATTTAACAGCATGTCCATATCTGTGTTTAATAACTTTTGTGATGAATATGTCAACAAACTCATTTAATATCTTATAATTTTGAGGAAAATAGATCATTAAATGTCAATTTCAGTGCTAGTATTAGCATGATATTATTTGCAATTGAGAGAAGCTTTCACGTTTTAAAATAAAAGTTGATGTTTTTTTAAAACGAATATTTATAAATTGTTTTTTTTCTTCTTCTTTTTCTGTAAGTTCAGAATTCATTGTAAGTACATTTTCAATCTTATATAAGTTAGTTACGAAAATGTATCAAATTAAAAATGACTTAATATAAAATCTGAATTGTACAAATGATGGTTATTTTATCTTGGTAGAAAATTTTCGCTACAATTCAAAAGCATCATATAAGCCTAGATTTAAACCTCACTACTTTGTACAATTATAGCTTGAAAGATCACTTAATTCACCTGCGCCATTATTTCCATAAGATATGTCATATAGGCTGAATAAATTTTCCAAAATCACAAAAGTTTTATTTTCTAAGTCACTTTCGTATATTTATTAAATATCCGCCATTAAAATATAAGTGTTTAATGATTTGAAATAGCTAAAAGTTGTTGGAAATTTTGAAATGCATCTTGATTGAGATTCATGTAAGAGAAATTGAGTAGATTAGAGTTAATAAATCTTAACAAGTTTTTTAATTTTTGTTTAAAAAAAATGAATAAATAAAAGTAAATAAAAAATTTTAAGAAAATAAAAGTTTCGGATAATGAAATTTGAAAGGAAAAGAAGATTTGGTCAGGAATTATTTTTGAAATGGAATTGGCTGTGGTCTATAAGCAATAAAAAACACTTTAAATTTAATCCTCTTATTCTACGTTCCGTTTAGCCGGGCGCAAGGGAATTCAACTTCTTTTTTTTTTACTTTTCTTTGCTTAAATGAAGTTTTTTTATTTCTTTAATTTTTATGAGTTTAAAGAAATAAATTTTTTAAAAAAAGTTGGTGGAAGCCTTTATTTTTTGGCGACATTTTGCTTATACTTTACATTTAATTTTTTAATTGCACTTTTCAGTTAGCCAGGCGGAAAAGAATTCAACTACTTTTTCTTTATTTTTTTTAATTTAATTTTCTTATTTATTTTATTTTTATGTGTTTAGAAAATTGAAATAAAAGTTGATGGAGATCTACATTTTTTGCCAACTTTTCGCTACGCCCGTCTAAGCGAAAAATACCCTTTTTAATAAATATATTGTGTAGATTAAACCATTTCTATTATCAAATGAATTATTAGCTATCCTTTAGCTGGATAGCAGAATATTTGACAGCTAACGGTGCCGAAGTACAATTGTCCGCTGCAATTTTTTTCCTCTGACCGGTTGACTTTATCGCCGTTGGATTTTATCTGAAATTTTATCGGAGTAGCTAACATATGAGTTTTAATAATTTATAAAAGAAACCTTTATGTAATTTCAGTTTAAAAAAAGGCATGTTTTTTAATTGATAACAAAATCCATTTTTTTCTTATAGTTTATTGCAAGCACAAGTATCGAAGGCATTTTGACACCTGACTATTTTAGTTGGTATCTGCACAGTCTGTTCCCAATAAAATTAATGTTCTCAATAAAAATAAAATGCTCTAGGGTCAAGTTATCGGGAACACAGCTAATGGAGAAGAACCTCTAATTATTAATGACACATATACGATTAAGGGAGATGTTTAAGGGATCCCTAAACTGCTAATGACGCCTGTGATGCATTATTAATTGCGTTAATAATTACTACTATTATTTCGTAATAATTAGTTAAAAGTTGTCAACAGGTTCTATGTTAACAGTTACCTAATAACAGTTTTGTGGTAGGTAGATTTTTCATGGCTCCCCGAAACAGATAAGTACCATTATAATGGCCAAAGACTTAAGACTTATAGAGTTAAAGACTATACTTTAACAAATTAATGTAACATATTTTGATAGCATAGGTCCCTAAATAACAACTTCATATTTGCAAGGCTATAACACGACCGAGTTAGTCGGTTAAAACTTAAGCCAAACTATGTATTATTTATTTACTTTTTTATTTATTTCTGCTAGCAATTGTCGCCTACCGGAATCAAAAGTATCTTTAAATAGACCAAAGATGAGTTATCAAGAATATCTCGGTGCAAACACTATTGAGTCCACTAGTACGCTAGCTTCTTATGTCAGTGACAAAAAAGAGCAAAAGTCAGCAAAGAGTCGATCATATTGTATTATAAATTCTAAAAAAACACCACACTCCGGTGGAGATGCTTTTCAGGCCTCAAACGTAAGTTGCTTAATGTGTCTACTATAATAAGGGCACACTGGTGAAGGTGTTTGTAACTAGAGTTACTGTATCTAAAGTAGTTAGATACTTACTATATATTTCTAACAATTTATAATTTGACTGAATAATATTATTTTCTGAAAAGGAATGAAATTAAAATTACTTTGTAGATTTAAGATTGGTAAGACACCGAGTCTTTACTCAATAACTTACTAATCATTGGTACAGTTTGGGGAATCTTCCGTCTGGTTAAAAAAAAAAAAAGATCGAAACGCAACTTGATACAGTATGATCTTGATACAAAATGCAATAACGAAGTTTGAAAAAAATTTCACACCAAGTTTGACTCCAATATCTCAATATCTTCCTTTTCCGGAAAATTTTGAATCTATTAGTCCTAACTCTCAAAATGCATTTGAAGCAGAGACTCTATTCACAACTAGATGATCTGCCGACCGGCCTGTGTTGGGGTTAAGGAACTGCCCTTGCATCAGAAAGGTTCTGGGTTCGAATCCCGAGCAAGGCATGGATGTTCTCTCCTTCTTTGTACTATCTGTCCTCACTGTGGTAGCAACGTTGGCCCACCTAATATGGTGCCCCTGAAATAGTGATCAAAAAATCTGCCCTTCAGATGCCTGCATGACCTAGGTCATTCTCCAGGTGGGCATTGAAAAAAAAACTGGATGACCTAGAGATGTTTAAAAAGTCTTACTTATATTTTGCAATGGGCATCTAGTTAATAAAATCTAGGAAAAATTCATTGTTATACAGGATTACTTACAAACAAAGAATAAAATATTATTGTCCGAATTACATAAATGAAATATTGAATAAGTATTAATGAAGTTTTTGCTCAATAAACACTAAAGTAATAAATCATAAGAAATCAGACAAAATACTTTTGAGGAATAAATATTTGAAAACATAAATTCCACTTGAAGAAAGAATTGTTTTTAAATTGTTATATCTTCAGAACAGATCAATCTTTTGCTTTCAAACTTTGAATACAGTACTAAAAATCAGTAATTGTATTACGTAACCTTAGAATTCAAGCATACCTTTTTATGAACCTTTTTTAATAATTAGCTACAAATGAAAAAAATTATTCCGAACAGTTTCATGAAGGAAATTTTTTACTTATTCTAACTACACTACCTACCAATAAGTATTTGCAATTGGACACCAATGCAAATCACTACATCTGCGGTCCTGAGATACGTCACACCCTCCGCCGATATATATAGTGTAGGGACAACATCGGCATTAGTCCCAAGATGTGAGCCGGCTAAGTGTGTCAACTGTTCTGGTGAGCACCCGGCCTGTTTTTCAGGCTGCGCTGCAAGACCCGTTAGAAAGCTGAGAAGAGGACCCGACCACCCGTAGAGAACCTCAGACTCAGCATCCAGATTCCTGCATATCGTGAAAGAATTGCAGCAACTCCTGAAGGATCAGGAATTAGTCAGCCTACTGAGATCACTGATAGCAGACAAGCCATAGATTCAGTCATCTCCCGCCAAGCCGACTCAAGACGTCCACAGCCTTTCTGTAGAAATCTTCTACTACATCTTTTAAAGCCAATTAGTCACAGTTGCCTTAGGGCGATCATCATCAGATGAAGAAGTGAGATGCCCGCTTCGGTACTTCGCAACACCATATATCTAGTCTATAGTAATCGGCATTAGTCCCATGCAAGATGCCTACTGCACTATTTTGGATGACAATGTGCTTCCTACGTTGTGGCAGTTTTACGGGGTGAACCCCTGTTACTTCCAGGACGACAATGTCAGCTGTCATGTTGCGAGGGTCACCAAGGCTTGGTATGGTGCCAATGGGGTTAATCGAATGGACTGGCCTGCCCAGATCTGAACCCTATCGAGAACCTCTGGGACGAGTTGGATCGCCGAATTAAGGTATGTACTGCCCGTCCAAAATCGGTGAAGGAACTTACATGTCCTCTCTAAGCCGAGTGGAAGAAAATACCACTAGCCGTCACACAAGGACTTGTGGAAAGTATGCCCCGGGAGGAGTCACGCTATAATTGCCTCTCGTGGAGGCTCTACCAACTATTGATTATGAATAAAGCTTGTTTTTCTTTTCAATCACGCGTGTCCAAATACTTATTGGTGGATAGTGTATTTGTGTTATATTTTCTGAGTTGTGTTTAACCAGCAACTCCCAGAAAACAGAAGGCCTCTGCACGGGTTACCAAGAACGAAAAAATACGATCTTTTAGTAGTCTGAACGTTGCGAAATTTTTCGAATTTTCCCTCCATTGCGCTGTTTAGTAGTCCGAACGTCGTGACATCTTTCGGAATTTTTCCTCATTGTAAATTTAGCCGTGCGGAGGCCTTTTTTAGGAGGTGTTGGTTTAACACCTCCTTTTGGTGACTGTTACGAGTCCTGAGCCCAGTAAATAAATGATTAATTTGTTTAGAAAACACGTTTTTTAAATGATTTCGCAGCTTAATAATTGTACTGCTTGCTATATCTTGTCTGGGCTGCTTGACGAAGAGAAAGTGCATTGCACAGAACACGAAAATGCAATCCCCTCATTATCCGCTGTACTAAACATAAACTTGTTAAAATAATACTAAATATAATTAAACATAGACCTGCTACAGTATGAATTTGTTTTAAGAAAGTATTTTTTGACTGATTTTTTAATTTAATTAATAATACTGCTTTTTAGTTGAAGAAAAAAAATTTTATTGCAAACGAAGAAAAATAATTCGTTAAATTACTGAACTTAATGGTAATAACATTTCTAGCAGAAAAAAAAACATTATTTTTAAATAAAAGCAAAATATACGGTAGTGAAACCATTTGGTAATTTTTACGTTCATATGTAAAATAGTTTACCAAAATTTTCGGTTTTCAAAATTATAGCTCTTATTAGTTAAGTAAAGCATTCCCGCAACAGTCCGTTGTAGGCCAACAGTCCGTTATGATAGAGGACAGAACTCTACAATTTCGAGACCAACGGCATAATTATGGCAGTGTGATCATCTCTGTGCGCAGGCACCGCCTTTACTTCCCAGCTGGTACACATTGATCTGAAGTTGGGTGGGTATCATGCTGCTACCGGGAATCGAACCCCAGTTCTTCCCAATGACAATTCAGTGCCTTAATCATCGAGCCATCAAGACTTGCTCTTGTTAGCAAAATATGCAAAACTAAAAAATTTAAAATTAAACAAATAATGACGTGCTCTAATGTATCATTATAAAGTAATTAAATTTTGCAACATTTACCAAATTTTTTCACACACTATAGAACCATATTTTATCGCTAATTTTATAAGAAATCATTACCAAAGCTCTTCGGTAAAAATTACCGAGCTTTTTAATGTTCCCATAGAGCCAGGAACATGGCAAAAAAATTTCCCATATTTAGGTAGTTTTTACCATACTTTTTTTTTCTCGGTGTAGAATATGAAAAATACAATCATTAATCTCTCTAGAGCACCAGCCATTTCTGAAATAACTTCGTAGTATTCTACTTCAAGATTAGCATGCATTATGAAAGCGTGTGATTATATATATTACATATGATATGATATATTACATATGATATGTGATATATATATACATATATATACGAATATATCACATATTACTTTTATTTTTATTGCAGATGCAAACTTCTCGACATGTTTGGCGTGAAAAAAGAGACAGAGAACATGCGAGGCGTCGTCATATGGGTGAAGGGGATATGAATGATTATTCTATAAAAGCTGCAGATGAAAGTGATGCAGAATACACCCCTTTCATTGAAGACGTTGATCAATTCAAAGAGGACCAATCTAACGTAAATACACATTGCTAAGCGCGCATTGTATTTATGTCACATTACATAAAAGTTACATAATATTTAAATAATAATTTTTCGAAATGTTGAATCAAGAAAGTTAAGACTAATGTATTCAGATTTTCTCAGTTAAATATTTAAACTTTATTTTTAAAAAAAATAATAAAATCTTAGTTATATCTGGCTTAGCAAATATTACTCGAAACTCAAGTAGCAAATTTCGATTTTAAAAAAAAGCTGCATTTTTATCATAAAAGGTACATATTCATGAAATAATTTTACAGGTAGTTTGTCTCACTTTTTAAATTTTATGCAAAATTATGCGACCACAACAATGAGTCAACATGGAGTCGCAAAAAATTGCCAAACTATTCTTGACGCCAGTGATGTTTATTTAAACCATGTAATACTTATCCAATAGGCACTACGTTAAGTGACAGAGCATCATGGGCGAGAACAGCAATTTTTTAACGCTTTTCGGAAGCTGAATAGTATGGTTTAAAATTATAGAAAATGTCAGGTGAATGATGGTATCATTTAAGCCCTTATTTACGTTTAAAGAAAAACGGTGTTAAAGGTTAAGAATAACAGGCAGAACAGAGGGACCAGTAAAAACAGTTAAAAATAACCAACTGTTAAATAGAATCCAGAGTAAGTGGTATTTGAATGTACCGCATTTTAAAAATAGTAGTGCGTGGAGTCCCTCCGTGGGGAAGAAGTGAAACTTCGTAATGTGGAAATGAAAATAGGTAGGGGTAGAAATTGATTTTTAGTGAAATCATATTGTTTCTTTAAGACAAACTTTATTAACATTGCTTAGATACGAAATGTTTGAGTTCTATTTTTTCAATATTTCTTGCAAAAACTGCATCAATGGTAGTTCCCCCTTTGGTTGTTGAATCATTCCTACCATTTATCATTTCCAATCCAAATTTGTCTTTAAGGAAGGTTAATAATGTTTCAGCTTCAGGTAACGAGAAATTCACATTAAAATCTCCTGCAAGGATCACAGGCAGCTCGTTGCCATGGTTTCGTTAAACGTTTAACGCAACGTTGTTGGAAGTCGCATTAGAAGTTTCACTTCAAAAATCTCGATTCTAAATTGTATTCATAGCGTCTATATCAGTGGGAAAATATTCATGGTAGCAAAACTTTTGGTGAACTAAATATCAATTTGGCTTTGATTTGATCGATTATTGATTGACTTTTAATAACATATTAATACTTGTTCCGATTTACTTTTTATTAAAATGAAATTTAGTATTAGTTGTTTTGTAAAGTAGTAGCAGAAAGTACTCAAAACTGCAAAGAACGTCGCAGAACAATCAGAATTTCATGCAGAACAACTCATGTTTGGAGCTGATTAATTTATGCCCAAGTTAGGAGGGGGGGGAGTGATGAAAATGTTATGAGTTGCTAATGATTATTTTTAATTATGTTGTCATTTATACGTAATATGATATTTAACTAATTAAGGCTCATTTTTTAACGGCACACGTAAAACATTTGTAATATCATAAGCCTTGTCGCAGGACATTAGATATAGTTCTGCTTTTAGGAAAAATATTCAGAAAAACTGACATTGTTTTATTATCTTAATGTACCTTCTACAAGATAATTCATTCATCTTAATTTCTCAATTAAAAATTGGGAAACTGTACCTTGTAAACTATAATCCATATAAATTTTGCAGCCAAAGAGTACGCAGCCTACGTGCAAAATCGAGAATTTGGATCCTCAACAGTTTAATATTGAGAGTGTATCAGCATCAAAAACAATGATAAGCGTTCGAGAAGTAAGTGAAGATAATGAATTCAGTCAGTCTGCGGCATCAATCGTGTCAACTTCTGCCATCCAAGAAAGCCTCGACGAAAAGTCGTCTCAAATTACCCAAACTGGAAAAGATTACAAGACTTATTTGAATAAGAACTCGAAACATTCTTTCACGGAGTTGATCGAATTGAAAAGACGAAGTATTCGAAATTCAGAACACGCCGACGATGCTAAGAACGATCCAAATGTCGATATCGATGCTGTTTCTGCCACAGAGAATGGCGATACAGAAGAAAGCGAAATTGAGTCCGTGGTTGATTTGATAGAAGAGAAATCTGACATCTCAGATACTGAAACAGCCCAGACGCCTTGTCCGAATGAAGCAGAGTCTTCTCCATTTAAAAAGGGGAGAGAGTTACTTAGAACGCCACCGACAGTGCAGAGACAGTTATCCACTAAGACGAGAATAAAAGTCGATTTTTCAGAGAACGATTCAAAATCAGTTTTGTGTTCGAAAAAAGATTATGTTTCACCAAAAACAAAAGAAAACCCTCGCGTAAAGGTAAGCAAATCATGTGATACTACTAATAAAACTTTTTTTTTACAGCCAAATTAAATTTTACTAAACATGCGTTATTTTTTGAGAAAAACTTAGTAGAATAACAAGCTCGAAGCAAATGGTGGAAAGTTTGAGAAAGATTTTTGACAGAAAGTTTTAGAAGCTAACTTTTTTTAAACATATTTTTCGATTGAAAACGGGTTTGGTTTTCTTTAAGCACTTGGCAAAATAAAGTTCGGTATTTCCAGTTGACCATCACATGTTTGTAAACTCAGCAATCCGAAAATTCTACTTCACCAAGTTTCTCCTCATGTTTTTCTATTCTTCCATTAGGTTACTTATTTAAGTATTACCGATCTACAATATTACAGCATACATTTTATAGCCCAGTTATCGCTAGTTATCTCTTTAGATAGCTATGTCGTGTTAGCTATATCGTGAGCGTACAAAAATATCGTGAATATTTACTCCTAACTTCAATCTTTGAAAATGCTATTTCTAGAATTACAAATCTGCAACATTCAACATACATCGTTCTACATATACACCACATCTCTTCTACAGCCAGTGTGATGGTATGGGTTGTCATCGTATCCGACTCACGATTACTCCTAATATTGATCCACGTCGTCATGACAGTCTAGCGGTACGTTCGTGACAGCTTTCCGTCACATGTGTTGCTACTCCTGACAGAGTTCTCGAAAACCCTTTTTCAGTAAGCAATGCTCATCCACACACAGGAAGAGTGCCACAGAAATGCTTCCGCATCATTACCATCCCTCCTTGGCCGGCTCTATACCCAAATTTGTCACCGATCGAATATATCTGGGATCATTTATGACGGCAAGTTCGACAGCCTCCGAGTTTAGTCGATTTAGTGGTGTTTTTATGGCTTTTTCATAGCAAGTATGTAACGAGATACAGCAGGACACCATAATAGACTTGTTTGCCTTAGTGTACAACGGTTTTGCCTCCTGAATTCACGCTAGAGGAAGCCCAAAAGGGTACTAAAACCTCCATCCATTTATATTTTTCCTGCAAGAAATAAACATCATGCTTTGATATTTTAATCACTTACTTGTATTAACGTTGTACTTACGGATGCAAAATTTCGTTTCATTCTGACAGCTCTTTCCAATTTTGATAGCAATGAGTGTATTAAACCAAGACCAGCTTAGCTGAAGAGTTAACTTTTCGTTGGTCGAGGAAGTCAAAACGTGATCCAAATAAGGTGTCTATATTGACTTTCCTTCTCTTTCGCTTCGATTTTCTTTTCCTGCACTTACTAAAGTGCTAGAATAAGTCAGGGCTAAAGAGAATAGAAGGGCTGGTTCACTCCTTTGAAGTATCTCTCGCCGCGCCGATCCTCCGACGTCACTCTAGTGACGTCACTTTGGCGCAAAGCTCGCACTTTTACTTCAAGAACGGAGCGTTTGGCCTTACTAGCTCTAACTAATATTGGATCATTTCTTTTTGCGAGATATTCTAAGACATTTGTTATTTTCTATAATGACTTTCCTCAGTTTTTGCAGTGAATTTACAAGAATTTAAAACTATTATCGAAATGCCAGTTTGCGCGATTGCAACTTGCAAAAATTCTGATATAAAAACAAAAGGAAAAAGTATAATTTTTCGCGTGTTCCCTAAAGTAAATGAACAACTATGTAAAGAATGGATTCCGAAATGACACAGTTAATATAAAACCGCAATACGTTTATTCTGTCGTAAAGAACTTTTATAAAAATTCATTATCTAAATAGAAACCGCCTCGCTACTTCATAAAGAAAGGCAGGTGAAAAGAATTAAAAAATAGATAAAGTCAAAGAAAATTAAAATGTAAGTAAAAAGTATAAATAAAATATATAGTATATAGTTGAAATTCTCCTAATTTCATAACATATTTTTTAATGTAGTTATTCTAAATATTTATGATTTTTTTTAAAAATTATATTCTCTTCAATTTAAATATCTATAAATTATATCATCGTAAATTTAAATGTCTATAAACAATTGTAAAATTTCTAATGTCATTATGAACCTAAATTATTATTTTGTTTCAGTAATTAGCGTTTAAGGTTGATGTTTCCTAATGATTAAGTATGAACAAATTGCTATTAACGACATATTTTAAAATCAGGGATTCTAAATTTAACTTAACTTATCTTTATAAAAGAATATGTAGATAAAAAAAGTGTCGATATATGCCTTCATTTTTCTTAATAGTTAAAGTTAAAACTGAACTTTTTAAAATAAAGTATTTATCGTGTCATTTTCACCAACTAGCAAAACATTTTTATAAGTTTAAAATGGTATTTTTTTAATATAATAACCAAGAAAGTTTTTTTTGAACTATGTTTATGAACGGAAATAATGTGTTAATTACGTAAAGTTTGAAGGCTAATAACCAGAAAAAGTCTAACTTATTTTTACAAAGAGAAAGATGCTAAGTTATGATATCTTTGCTTGCGATCTCCGAGATCTGTGGACACAGTGACGTCATGAGGAGGGAAATCGTAGCTTCAGCTCTAAGAGCGGAGTGAACTAGCCCTTCTATTCTCTTTAGCCCTGAGAATAAGTAATCCTCCCGATTTTCCCTAGGCACATGTCAACTCGTGATGGGAGAATTATACAAGAACGTTCGCTGGATTAAATAGAGCTGTAAGCTTGCAAACATCGTTAATTTTATCTTTTATATAATTTCAAAAAAATCACCATCCATTTACAGCAGTGTTTTATCGTTAACATATGAGAGAAATTCATTTTTATGCACTTCTCTCCCAAACTTAATAATTAATATTTATGAGCGATTTTCAAGTTCACGGACTAAAATTACCTTTTGCTCTCGCTGTCTAAGTTTTAGTAGTTTAAAAAGGGTAGTTCTGGAGTTTGTAGAGACAACCGCAAACTCTTTCTTTTATTATTATTGCTGATAGCTTACTGGCATGCAGTTCTTAAAGTTTTATACTCATAACATTGTTGGAAAGCCGGTCAGGTGGCCGAGCGGTCAGCGTGCCTGACTGGGAAGTCAATGGTTGCGGGTTCGAATCCCGCTCAGGGCATGGATGTTTCTCTCTCTCTCTGCTGTGTGATGTGTGAATGTCGCCCACTATATGAATGGGTATCTGTGGCAGTGTGCAGTGCTGGCTCGACTCCGTCACTTAAGTTCACAGGTGCCCACTGGGAGGGCCGGAATAGCCTGGTCGGTAGGGCTCTGGGCCCATGTCCGAGAGTTTGTGGATTTGAACCCCGCCGGCCGAAGACTCTCCGTGTAGTTGGTGACTGATGCACGTTAAAATTCTGTCGAGTAGCAAAGTCCTATATATTCCCATAACAAATCGACACCTCTGGGGGTACTGGATTGAAGATCGATGGTTCTCTGATTCAGGTCAAAATTACGATCCGTGGATGAATGAATGGATGTATGAATGGGTCCGCCTTATAAACAGGTGTGACGAATGATGTGGCAGAAGTCGAATTCTTGGTCATAGATGGCGCCACTGAAGAACAAGAATCGCATACTCTGCCTTAAACTTGCTCGGCTTCACCTAGCTGGCTTGCCCGTGTGACAAGTGGCATTAGAACCAACCAACCAACTTCCAGCATCTTCCGCGGTGAAGAAGGAAAGTTCAGTGCCTGCCATAAAAAATTAAATAAATAAAATATTGTTGGGAATTTTTTAAATTTAAATGTTTTTCTCATACTGTTCGTTCTCTCAGTACCCATTGAAAATATTTATATTTTGAACGAAAATAATTTTATTATTAATTTCCAGAAAAGGGAAGTAAAGAAGTCCAAATCTTCAATTGAGAAATCCACACAAAAACAGGATATAGTAGCAGCCCGAAAAGTTCAGTCATTTCAAGACGAAGCGACGCCAGTAAAGACGAAACAACGTAAGCAAGGAGCGAAAGTGGACGGATGCCCTTGGCCGTAAGATTATTTCTCAGTTCGTGGTGTTCCGTAATGAACGTCCTTACTGTGCATGTTTTATTGACCTTCATCAAAATAGTGTTTAAGAAAAATTCACGTTTTATTATTTAAGAAAGGGAGAAATTTTAAAAAAAAGTTAACAAAACCTAACGTATCACTATTATTGGTGATTTTTTATTTCTTTTTTACAACCGTCGTTAAAAATCCAACCCAATTTTTCGCTTTTACGACTACTAATGTTCCACTCCGTTGTCTTATAATTTTGAACTCAATCCAGACGACAAGGGAACTCCTGGATTAAGTATTTGGAAAAATTTGCCTTCGATGAGAACTTTTTGATGGAACCGCATTTGCGTTTCATGGAGAGGAAAATCCTAAAACATGGTTTGTAAGACGACAAGGGGACTTTAACGCATGATCCGTCTACCACTGAGGATATTTTACGTCAGCACTGTGGTCGGTTCAAGCCGGATGCCGAATTCGTGTAAACCAGGGATTCTCTCTGTCCCCTGCGCCATTAGTGACTTAATGTCACACAGTTAATAGGCGGGAATTAGAAACTTCAATATTCATCAGTTAATCAAAAAGTTTTTTTTTCAAATCCGCCTAGTGATTTTCTCCAACATTTCAATTTTTTTCTTCACTTAAATATTAATTTGTGACCCCCTGATGTATATACTTCGTGAATTCATTTTTCACATTGATTCCAAAAGTAAATCCATGTAAATATATTTGGGAAAAATATTTCTAAAATATCATATTTTAATGAATGTAAGCACTTTAAAATAATATTTCTAATTTATTTTTTATCATGTGGTGTAAGGAAACCTCACACATAGCCTAGAATCTTTAATTTATGTATTTCAAAACCACCAAAAATATGTAATTTTTATTTGCCCTCAAAAAATTTTCTGCAATAATATTTTTATGAATATTTGGTAACGTATTAGTCATTGCTGTTTGAAGTATTAAGCAATTTCTGGAATGTCTGCTTTGAAATGATTAAGTTTATTTGCTTATAGTTTAGTTAAATATGGAATATTAAAACCGGGTCTTGAAATGTAATTATTGGTATTTTTCAAGTAGTGTAAAATGAAGCAATTCCCCATCCCCGAAAAAAAAATAACGAATCACTCTAATCCAATAGTTATATATCGATTATATTTGTCACTTATTAAGCAGCAATGTTCTGAATTTGAGAGGCAAAATTGAATATGGTAATTTATCAATGTCATGTAATTGTTCTAAAAATCCAGGCAGAGGAAAGTCCTTTTTGTGAACTAATATTTTCCGATACTTGATTTTCAAAAAGGAAGGAGAGGATTGCGAATAATATTCTGGAAAACATGTTTCATAGGAAGAATCGAAAGATATTTAATATTAATTTTTAGGCATTTAATTTTATGATTTAAAATTATATAAATCAAAAAGTCATAGATTATGTTTAATTCATTTTTAAATATGGGTACCACATAACATTTTTTTTAAATTTAAAATTATTGTCTTGTAAAATTATAGAATAAAATAAATTTTATAAATCAGTTTCGAAATAACGAATATTTGATTCACGAAATTTATTCTAGATCATGCAATTAAATTTTCATTATATCATTAAATTAGATTTAATTTTTCTTTTTTACTTATTTATTTTAATTTACTTTTTGTTTTCTTGAGCAAATTTTACCCCTACCTGATTTCAGAACAGGTGATACGCTGAGATATGCATTTTCTGAAGTTTCAAACACGCAAGCGAACGTTTAGAAACTACGTGTAGGATGAACTGCTGGTGCATGCGCGAATCACATGCAGTTCATGTAGATTCTAAACGTTCGTACTCGCGTCTAAAGCAGCAGTTTCCAAATTTTTTCAATTATACATCCCTATATGATCGAGCTTCTTTTTGCGGAATTCAATATAAGAAGAAATGTTCATTAGGAGCTCTGATTATAGTAACAAAAAATAAAAGAAAAAAAATGAATTTTCTGAAAAAAAATGCGTTTGCTGCGTTGAAGTAGATAAAACTGTTATAAGCGTTGAGAATCGTAATCAGAGAAATGTAACTCTTTATTTTTGAAATCAGCTGTTTCCTTTTGAGTTGGAAAGCTCAACGAGAAAATTTTTAATTTATGCCTGTTGTTTGCGTAATTTGTTCAATATATTGTCTTCGGATAAACAATCCTTTTTTTTAAAAAAAAATTTGATACGTTTTTTTCATTGGAATTTTTCATAGATAATTTCATATAAACAACCGAATTATTAGATAAATTATGGATAGTTGACTCGATATAAAATAATTATTGCTAGTTAAGAAAAAATACTAACTATCAGAGCCTGTGTGATCCTCCCACGGAACCTCAGGGTTCCGCGGAACACCTTTTGGAGATCATTGATCTAGGGTAATCCTGTGCAGTGTGACTAGGAGCATATGCGCGGTGCCCCCTTAATAACACAATTCATCATATTTTCTTTCATCTCAAACCTGTTATAAAAAAAATTGAAGACAAACCGAACACATTCGCAAATGCGTAAGAGGTCTTCGGACATAAAAAATCGTTCTGTATTTATTTTTCCACTCATTTATTTGTTCCCTCGATATTGTAATATTTTTAGCAATTACATTTTTATTATTTTATTTCATTATTTTTATTTTATTATTTTTATTTTATTATTTTTATTTTATTATTTTTATTTTATTATTTAGCAATTACATTTCTTTTTTCGTGTAGGAGAGATATTGAATATGCATCGAAAGGTGAAATGCCTCTGTGGGCTGAGAAATTTGAAAAAACTGTGGATGCGTTGAAACCATATTCAACCATTGACGAGGCTGATGCTTCGATGAAAAAAGCAGTCGAAGATTTATTCGGAACGTCATGGTTGTATTTTATTTTATTTTTTTAAATCCCTAGAGTATTTAAAAACAAAAAAACCAGGTTCAGAGGAAAAATTGTCAACAACTTTTTTTAAAAAAAGCATGAGAGGGAACAGGTTTAGAGGGGAATTTGGTAACTGGTTGAAGTACTCTTTCCTCAGCGTTAGTGAAGTTAAAGGACATTATAATGATTTGGCGGCTACGACTTAGTATAACTTGCATTAGTTGTAATTCTTTTTTGAAAATTTATGCGTTGTTAGCTTAATAATAGGTCGAGTGAATAAAAATCAGGAAAAAATGTACTTATTTTTCGCGTTACAATTTCAAATATAAATGATAAAGGTCTGCAAAATGGGGTATTAAAGATTGTTCTGTATTGATCTTTGACTGATTTGATCAGACTAAAGATTGATCTTTGACTTATAGAAATAAATTAAATAAATATAACGTATTTCCCTCTTTTTGAAATTCTGCATTGTGTTGCAAAAGCATTTGAGATACACTCTATGTTTCAGGATTTGTAACGGAATATAATTAAAGTTGCAATTTTTGCATAACCTTGCTGTAGGACAAAATGATACACAAGCAAGGTTTGCATTCAAACTACAAACAATGTTATTATACTCGATAACTACGGTTCATGAATCATGTCCCTTTTTTCAAATTCTTCTTGCATACAATATCGTTACAATAGAAATCTGTTACTTTTAAATAATCTGCTTGACGTCGTGCGCTTGCGTTGTTGTTTGTTGCAATCTGCTTGACTATCTTTGTTCGTACGTTAGGAATCTTAAGTGTCTCATTCTGTGAACTATCTGTGTTACTCGACATTTGTGCTTTTTTCCCCTTAGTCAACAAGCCCAAACAAGGATTTCACCCCAGTTTTTTTCCAACCTTTTTTATTATTATTATTATTACTATTTAGCTGTCGTAGGTTCAGTTGGTTACGGAATAGGGTGGAATCCACGGTGGAAAGAAATCCGTATCAAGCAGCTTCATCAGAAATCATATTACGGAATTACGTAGTACAGAAATCGTAGTAGAAATACTAATACGGATAATACACGAGAAAAAAATAGAGAATATCTTCAATTCTAAAAGCAATTTCTCAGTTCGGAGGTGCCGATAGGGTTGCTTAATTGTTTGAACGGTTGCTCGTAATAGGGTTACCATTTTTTGCTACTTATCTTAACTTTTGGCTGATATAATTATTTTTTTCACGTAATGCTATTATCTCATATTTTCTCAACGCTGTTTGTAATGAAAAGAAAAGTAAATCACGGACGCTCTAGAATTGATATCCGTTTAATTTTATGTTCTAATTTAATGCATTAACTCAAAATGTCATCCAATCATCATCTTCATCATCGTTACAGCCATGTTTATTTACATTTATAAACGTCATCACATAGAATTGAAGCGTCATAAAAAGCAAACAATCTGATTGGTCCTAGTGTGAGTTGCTCTTATTTATAGACATTCTTTCTCTCAGCGGAGAAAAACAGTTGCTGATATTTTAGGCAACTGTGATTTCTATATCAGACGCGGATTTTCGGGCAATTTTTGGCGAAAGTGGAGGATACGATTGCGCTTACGGTTGACTTGTCGGTTTCGTTGCTGATAATTTCCATCGTGTGATATACCCATGATCCATAAAGCCTCTGCCCAGCGAAAGTGCATTGGCCGAGTCTGCTATATATTACTTACGCTTTCTTCATTTATTTCAAATTTATATGGGTTTTATTCGATAACTTTTTGAATTTTCTTCAGTCTGCGAAATTGGATCGTATGGCATGGAAACTTACTTCGAATTATCCTATTTGGTCATACAATCTGCCATGAAAAAAATAAATTAATTAAATAACTAACTCTGTTCTGCTATGTTTGGAAGTTATAATTATTGCACCTATTTCCACAATACTGCTAGTACGAGTTTTAATTATTAGTTAAGCATCACTTACCCCAATAATAGTTCGGCGATTTCTTATGGAAACCAGAAACGGGCCACTGTGCCTAAATAACGAATCACACGGTATACAGTTCTCTTTTTTCACAATTTATTAAAAACACATCCCTTTTTTGAAAATATAAACTGTCATGTTTGTATCCGCACTCTAAACTAACGAGTAAATTATCCAAACTTCACTATAGATTAGAGTAATAAAAAAATAATGAATCTATGGGACGCATTCGTCTGTGTCGTTGCTCGTAGTATTCCACAGAGAAATGCACAATTCGCAGTAACAAAAAAAATAATGAATCTGTGGGACGCATCCGTCTGTGTCTTTGCTCGTAGTATTCCACAGAGAAATGCACAATTCGCAGTAACAAAAAAATAATGAATCTGTGGGACGCATCCGTCTGTGTCTTTGCTCGTAGTATTCCACAGAGAAATGCACAATTCGCAGTAACAAAAAAAATAATGAATCTGTGGGACGCATCCGTCTGCGTTTTTGCTCGTAGTATTCCACAGAGAAATGCACAATTCTTAATAAATGAGTTACAGTTGGTGGCATTTTATGAGCGGTGTTATCATTAACTTGAGTTATCATTATGAGCGGTGCTCTTTTTGCCACGAAGTATCATTTTGCTATCCTACCCACATTAATAATAATATTTTTCTAAGCCAGTAATTTAGGGAACAAAGCAAATTTTTGAAAATCAGTGTTTAGTTAATTTAGACTTGCATTTTTATAAAAATAAGATCACTATTTTTGAAATATCAATGTTTAAAAATTTTTAATGAAATCCATGATAGAAAATATAAATTTATGATCTTTTTACATCACAAATTGTTGATCAACTCCATAAATAAAAAAGGGATAAAGGGAAGAAATAGTATACCTTAATTTTTAAAGTTTCTTTAAAATATAAATTTCGACACTGCTTCGTTTCCAGCGGCCATGAAGATTTTTCATACTATTAACTCCATTAATTCTTAATTAATTGTGGTAATATGTACCTTGATGTCGTAGTAACATAATTATCTCAAGTTTTTAATTTGAAATATTGATGTTAAAAGATTTTAATTTTTCTTATCAGGAAAATTTATTATAAATATTAAAAGCTTGTACGTGTTAAGTGCTTTGACACATAAATTAAAGGTATTTCAAAAAGTGAAGTTAATTGATTTCTGGAACGGCTAGGAGAATAATTAAATGGAAACAATTCGATGAAGCATAGCATGATGTGTGAAATTAAATTTTATTTGTTTACAGGAAATTAAAAGAGGAAGCGATGTTAAACGTTATTAGATTAACCAAACACCATCCGGAAATAGTTTGTGACAATTCCACCAAAATCTTAAGTGCCATTTGTAATGAAGTGAAAAATATTCGCCAGTCAATTGCGGGCAAAGCCATCTTCACGTGTGGCTACATGTACCAAGTTTTAGGAAGAAGATTAGAAAATGTAAGAAATTATGAATATTGGAACACTTTCATCATCGTTGAGCTAATCTTTTTGCATAACTTTTTTTTTCTCTGTACACAATTTACGAGCTTATTTTCCTTGTGTCTCTTAATATTAGAGAGATTTCACACTTTTACGTTATACTCCACACGCTCCTGTACGTAAAATTTGAAGTAATTGCGCATGCGTCAATTCTGACGATGTTCATGCTCCTGTTTAAAAATATCTAATTTATGTTAATTAGAGCCCCTGAATTAGACAGGCCGACTTATCATTTATTTTTGGAGCAAAAAGCTAACGTAAGCACCTAACGTAACTAATACTAACATAACGTTAACTTGGGAACTTGTTTGCTCCAATATTGCTTGATAGGTCAGCTCTGATAGTATAGGAGCCTTAATGTTAATAAAAATAAGTGCCTTTGCGAACACCCGTCACTTAAGAACGCTAACGTCCTAATATAAATAAGGTACTAACTAATATACTAATATGCTAACAGTGGAAATCTTATCTTCGAAAACAAAATCAAAACAACCATTTACGCATGACATGGGCATTATGAAAGTTAAACTTCGTTCAACTTACTTGTATAATTAAAAAAATATATCCCATAATTTTAATTAATGAAAAAATATTAATTTTTATGAACCTAGTGCAATTAGACAACCATAATTTTTAACTAAGACCAATGAAATACCGCCTAAGAGTATGGGGAATTATTCATTTCCGTGAAATTTCAAACCAAAGAAGCTTTAGAAAGAAGATTTAATGTTTAAGAACTCATTGAAAACAAATGCTGAAGTCAGAATTAAAGAGAATTCCTAATTGCGAACGTTTGAAGCATATTAAATGGCCGTGCAATTCCCAGAATATTTTCAGATCAGTTCTAGGAAATCGCCGATATTGCAGTTTTTTGTATTAAATAATGCTATATAATTATGTGTAATCAAGATTACTCATTTAACTGTAACTGTATATTATAAGCTGATTAGTTGATAAACGGCTGCGGAAGTAATAGAAATTACGTTAATTTGAAAACAAATTGGTCTTATTCGAATAGTGGGCCCTCTTCTTATTTGTTTAATTTTGAGATACGGAACCTTAAAATCATATCTTGTTCAATTTGTTGTTTCCTTCATTTGATAGTAGAAATTTGATAAAGATGTATCAGTTTTAGTAAAATTTAGAAATGCTTTGCGCACTGTAAAAAGAAATCTGGTGTATAGGTGCTACCATTTTTAGTGTTGATGTAAATTAAGTAAATTTTTAAGTAAGGAACTGTAGTTAAGGTGCAAAAAATTATTTAAAATTGATGAAATGATAATTGTTTGAAAGGATTAGTTCGAGTATATTTCTAAAAATGTGCTTGTTTTTGTAAATGAAATGATTTTGCAATGAAGCCATAAATTGATTTTAATGTGCATGGAAAAGTGTGTTGTCAGCAAACAAACAAGCAAAAAAAGAATGAATGAATAAATATGAATAAATAAAACTATGACAGGGAAAAAACAAATTAAAAAAAATATGGCTTCATGCATTGTAAAAAATTTTAATTTGCCCCCAGACCAAAAATGGTAGAAAATATACACTGAAATTTTTTTGCAGTGCTTGAACATGAAAGTGAGACTAACTCCATCTTTCTTTCATGAGTAGGATGGGACTACTTTTCAATTTAGGTTTTTAATTGAACCCGAAAATAAAAATTCCTGCAATCATGATTACCATGTTCTTAATAATCATTACACGTTCTAGATGTCATTGTTGCCCGATTTCGGTTGCCAACTTGGTTGAATCATGTTTCATAATGAGGATAAGAAATTCATTTACACGAGTTTCAATCAAATGTATTTTATTTTACAGAAACTGCGAATGGTGCTTAACTCGCTTTTGATGAAATCCAGCAACAGGACACTCGCTTCATATTTCAGACTTGTAATTGAGAGTTTATTCAAAGTAGTCGAATCCTCTTCACCACAAAAAGCTGCACAAGCGTTTGTAGTCGAAGGGGGAAGGTGAGTTAATATATTCTTATCGCTCTTAAGTAATAACAACAAATTCAGAAGCTAAAAAATAATATAGAAATGTAAGTCTGTCTTTTAAACTTACAAATTTAAATCGATAAAAACATTTAATTTTGCTTATTGCGTTTAAATTTTCTCTCTAAAACTAGTGGCGTCTTCTCTTCAGCTTTCTTTAGGAATCCTACGTAAAATCTCCCTTCCATTTTTTTTCTTTTTACATCTAAAGCATATTTCTACTGTCAACCTCTATTTGCCAATTTTTTACTTAGTTACTTATTGAAGAAGTATTTACGAAAGGCAGTTAATTGCTTTTTTTGTATTGTTCAAAAAGATATTTTTAAACAGTTTTAATTTCTTAAGAAATTCGAGCGTTATTTTTCACACCTTTTTCTACTATCGTACATTTATGAAATTTTTTAACTTAACAAAAAGATAAAATAAATTCAAATTATTTTTCACAACGAATGTTGTTATAAACTGACCCAGTTGATTTCAAACAATTTCTATAATCTACAATACTTGTACTGATAGAAAAATAAAAAGCGTTATACACTAAAGAAATTGCTCGAATCGTTTTAGTTTAACGTATGTTCGCAATAGTGTAACATATTCGTAAATATAACGTATTTATACATTTTTTACACAATTTAAATCAATGCTGAATTACCAAGGCGAAATTTCGAATGAAATTAGTTAAAAAGATCTCGATTAATAAAAATTCAAAATTAAAACTTTTTTTTTTAAAAATTCATTGATCTCATTTTATTTATTTAACTCATATAATTTTAAAATTATATAAAAAAAATACATTCTTTAAAGGTATAAGTTTTACAATTGTAATTAAATAAAAATTATAATAAACCATTACGGCGAATAATATTTACTGTAGTAAGCAGGTGCAGATTTATTTCTAACAGTCTTCTGATTAAACTAATGTCTTCCAAAATTGTGACTACTCATCCAAAATTTTGAATCAGATATCCAAATCCATCAAAATTTATTTTTCGAAGCCTCCATTCTATGAAGTAACGCTTTTTTAACGAGTAATGTGCTACTTTTATAATTGCAACAACTGGGTATTTGCATCTCGAAAAGAAGTGAAGTGATTATGCCTAACCATGTGATTTAAATCAGATTTAATTGGATACACGTACCCGACGTCACACGCGTGTGTCAAACCTGATTGGCTTCTGAATCAACAAATGCCACGATTTACCTACAACGGCGTCACTAGCAGGTATTCAATTAAACATCACTCTTCTGTCTCTTTTTAGCCATTGAGCTCTAAGACATTTATGAAGAAAGTGTTAGTTTTGAGAAGATGGAAGGATTTTCTGATTTAAAAATTTTTTTAAATAAAATTTTACTTCAAAGCTGCAATGTTTGGCCTCCTGAAAATAGGTCAAAATTTAAAAGTACCAATTATTTTAATAATTTTCACGTAAGTAGAAAAGCGTCGCCAAATTATTAATTTTTTTTTGAGAAACCACGTCTTTATTTGTGTCCAATTTCTGAATTTAAATATTTCATTTATCAGTTAAAACTATTAGGGGGACCGGTAAGTAATGTCGCTTCGGCTCATTAAATATTCGTTAGACTTAAAACCCAAATCATTTTTTTTTTCGATCCATTTCGATTTATTTTCGATCCGGTATTGAAAGGTTGTTGCTAACGAGGGTGAATACATTATTGATTAAAATAAAATCTTGATAACAACTATCAAATGCACCGAAACGACATTACTTTCCGGTTCCCCTAATATCTCAGCAATTAGGTTCTTCCAAGAGCGTTTACTCAAAATTAGAATGTCTGCATGTTGTCTCTTTTCCTTAATCTGTTTCGGATATTGAGTTAATTCAATATCTTGAGCTAAGTTGCACTATTATGTTTATGCATGGCTTATTTCCTGTTTCTTTAGGCATCCCAATAAAGCCTCCAGAGAAATTGCTGCTCAGTTCTTAGCGATCCTTACTGATAAAATAGGCACACTTGATCCCATCTCACAGAACCTTGCAAGCCAGATGGTGAAATGTGCATCGTTTTTTGTGACTGATTCATCAGCTATTACTAGGTACTGAATACATTTATTACATACCTCTTTTTAATATTTCATTTTTAATTTGCTTTCAGTAAGAAAAAAAAACAGAATGTTCTACAATGACTGCACTTATAATGTGTTTTCAGAATCTGTGTCAAAAAAGTATACATTTTAGGTGTCTCAAATCAATATTTAAATGTGGAAAAAAACTAAACACTATCGAAATCTGAAAAACAGCACTATTTAAAAAAATTCGAGTCTGAAAACATCAAAACTTGTTTGATTGTCTGAAGAAACAGACAGATTACTTTGATGGTGATTATTAGAAACTACTTCAAATTTCACTGGGAAATCAAACTGCTTTAAATGTATGTCATCCTAACTTCATCACTAGTAGCTCGGAATATTTTGATGGTATTTTTCTCGTTTATAGAGTAATTTATGCCCTCTAATGTATGTTTTTAGACAAAAATTTAAAAATAAAAAAGCACCCTACATAATGTAATCAAAAGAGCGAGAAATGCCAAATAGATTTAAAAAGTTCTTGAAATATGCGTCTTTTGTTTCGAGCTGTTTATTTAAAATACAATTCAATTCAATTTGTTGCTTTGAAGAAAATCAAATTTTAATAAATAAGGAGTAGAAATTTATGATTTCTGTCGGTAAGTATAACTTAATTTAAACATTTTAGTAATTTATTTTCAACTATGTAAATTAATACTGGATTCGTGATTAAGTTTATTTTCTTTTTGTTAAAAAAAAAAAAGAATTTCTGGCATATGAAAATTTAAAATGCCGAAACAAGTCATCTATTACGAACTACATGTGAATCGAGAAATAGTTTTTTTTTTTTAATTTACCCCTGTAGTAAACTGCTAATGTTTTCTCGATATTTATTATAATGTGTATGAATAAATTAATATTACTCTGGGAAACAATTTTTTGCAATTATTTGTCTCAATGCATAATACTTGATATTGCCTGATTCAGTTGTGGGAATTTCAAATCTGAAATTAACTTTGCTCCTATGGCTACAAATTTCTTTTAAATAACATTTTTAGTTTATTTTCTTCGAATTGTACAAGTTTAAAGGCGTTGTTAATAACACTGAGTCGCGTAAAAGTTTAGACAAACTTTTGGAGGAGTTAAACAGCACATTATCAGGACTAAAATTGCATAGAAACCCACGTCCGAAACTGTCCTCATACGTAGATAGGGGAGCTTACCTATTTTGACCTGTTCAGAAGCACACGAAAAAAACATCTCATAATAAGAAGTGTCCCTAACGGCGTATTATGATATTTCCGTACATGGGTGTCTATGTAATTTTAAACCCCATGATGATGTGGCCTAACTCCTCTAGAAGTATATCGATGATGTGGCCTAACTCCTCTAGAAGTATATCGTTTTTACCTCCTGTTATGCATAACGTCTTTAAACTAGCACATTTCGACTAAACAATGCCATTTAAAAAAACTGGAGCTTGTCGGGACAAAACGATTTCAGATTTGGAATTAGTGATGCAAAAGTATTTACGATCTGTTAAAAGATCTTATGCAACAGAAAAATAATTGCCACCTAGTTGAGAAAGTTTTGACTCGTCGCCGCGACAAGCCTCCCTCTGGTATTTTAATGTTAAAAAAAGTTTAACAATTTTAGGAATGAAGTATTCACGTTTGATGATTCATAGTTTCTGAAACTGAAGTTTGTAATTTTTAACCCTCATTTTGACAAAATACAAATGCTATGACGAAAGGCTTAAATTGATGAAACTGCTTCCTTACTTGTGTCATATTAAAGCATTCTGAAAACTTTTGCTGCTTCTCGCCTATTTTAGCCCTACTTTTTCGGCACATTTTACTGTATATTTTATTCGTATTCGTATTGTAATATTCGTTCTATTCGTATTATCGTTCGATTGGTATTGTAATATACTTTTTCAATCAATTGTATGGAAAAGGTGGTTGAGATTAACGTCAATAAATCCAGTATGACATCACAAATAGTATTATTACGTCTTTTATAACATCACGAACAATTCTATAACACAACATACTCCTTTTTCATACTTGTACTCATTCACTTGTTATTTCTTATGTTGTAATTCCTAATTAATAATGCTTGAAATTCTTACCATCAACCTAGTGATGATTACATTTTCTTCTATTTGACAAAATATTCACTTTCATAATTTACAAGTAAAGAATTACATTAAAATAAAGAAAATTTTGTAAAATTTGAGTATCCATAATTCACGGTGAAAGTAAAACTAACATAGTCAGGAAGACATTAACTTATCGAAAAATTTTCAACTCTTTCATGGTAGTGTTTTCTTAGCTTGACTTAAAGTTTGCTCGAATGATTTTCCAGGAAATGGTTTCGTCGAAACGGATGAAATTTGAAATTTGAGTTCCCATTTAAGTAGAAGTTAAACTAAACAGATCATAAAGATATTAACATAAAAATTCTAAAATTTTAGTTATTTATTTCTTAATAAAGCTTTAATTTCAGCAATTAATATTTTGTTATAATAGTTGCTTTTGAATAATAAAAAGTATTTTTTATTTGGCCTTCCAACGCCTTCTGAATTTTTTAATAGCAGTTTCATATTCATGTCGTTAATTAATTTAGGTTTCTATAAAATGAATAAAAGGTATTATTCATTAATATCTTTCAGTATTAATTTCAGATTTTTTTTATTTTTAATGTCTGCTTTAGAATTGCAATGTAAAAGCTTCTGTTTTATCTTTTGATTTAAAAGTTTTATATATACAATTTAAAGTATTGGTACTAAAATCTGCCAGTGTCCTATAATTAGGTATCACAATTGTAACCTATTTTGCAATACTAAAATATAAGTTTCTTTTAAAATAAATTTATGAAGATTAATTTTGTTGTAGGTACTGTGCGAAACGTATGATTCAAGTGCTTAGAACTAATCCAAGTTTTGAAAAAATTAAAGATCAGCAATTGGATGTTAATCAAGCTAAAGATTTAACGAAAGTACTTGAGCTTATAGACACAAAGGTAAACACTTAGTTGTTGATAACCTGTAATTTTAAGTATCTAAGCTGAATCAGTTGAAAACAAAAAACTAGTTTAAGCAATATAGTTATAATGTCTGACTTCCTGATTTTGAACCAGGGATGGGGAAACTTTTTTAGTGGAAAGCAAAAAATCGAGAAAAAAGAGTTTGGCTGGCCGAGTAAAAACTTCTAAAATAAAAATTTAAAAAAAAAAAACGATATACAAGTTTTAATTTAACTGTTTAATGAGATGAATGAAATTGCGATTTCATTTTTAACAATTTCTTATATTGAGGTTCGAAGGGAGATGTGATAATTTTAAGGAACGAGGTTAAATGCTTGTCTGTTAGTCTACTTCTGAAATGATTTTTTCTAAGGTTCATAGTTGAAAACATTTGTTCACATATATAAGATGAAGCAAACATAGCACTGATTGTCTGGGCATGAGATGTTAAATTTTGGAAACTAGCTTTTGGTAATGATTTGTAAAACTCAAACTTTGGCAATTTAGAAACAACTGCTTCAAATGGTAGTTAGATTGCAACTCAATTAATTCAATCTGCGAATCCGACTTCACTGTTTCACAATTAACGTTGAAAGGCATGGTAAAAATATTTAAATCTGCTGAATGCCATTCAACAGAATTAGAATTAGATATTCTGTTCAGTGCCATTCTGTTCTGAAGGGCACTGAAATCATGAAATCTGCGTTCAAATTCAAAATGGAATTTTTTCAAGCCATTTTCTTAATTCTTAAGCTTTTCCTTATTTGCTGAGGGTATAGAATTTAACTTCGTGAAATAAAATAAGTCGTTCTTAGCTAGCTGCCCAGAAAACAGATTAAGCTTCAGTTTAAAAGGTTTGAGATGGGCCCAGATATCATCGATGAATTGATTTTTCCCTTGCATCTTAATATTCAAGTTGGTCATATGACAAAGAAGATATGTAAAAAATGTTAAAAATTTTTTTACAAATAACTAAAAAAACACAAGCAATTTTATACATTTAATAATTTCATCATTATTTACAATGACGTTATATGTGCGGAATATTTCCATACGCAATAAATAATGTTATATTTCGCCCCGGCAGAAAAATCAGCTCGTTGGAACTTAAAAATGCACAGTCTGCCACATGTGAAGTACAATTCACCTATATTAGCTCCTCGAAAAAGACAAACACTCGTTCGTTGGAAGAAAAATTCGCTCGTTGGAACTTAAAAATGCACAGTCTGCCACATGTGAAGTGCAATTCACCTATATTAGCTCTTTAAAAAAGACAAACACTCGTTCGTTGGAACTCGTTCGTTGGAAGAAAAATCCGCTCGTTGGAACTTAAAAATGCACAGTCTGCCACATGTGAAGTACAATTCACCTATATTAGCTCCTCTAAAAAGACGAACACTCGTTAGATCCAGTGTTTTCAACATTTTACCAATTGATGCTGCCTGTGTTAACTACTTCCATCAATTCATCAGTACTTTGTTAAGAAAGAACAAAAATATCTTTAAACAAAGTAGACAAGAAAATGGATAATGTATTTTGTTTATATTTGCCACGGATCCGCAAGTTAAAATTCTATCCGCGGGCCGGGAAAATCTTTCAGCGGGCCACAGTTGGCCCGCGGGTCGTAGTTTGACCATCTCTGTTCTAAATGATTTACTTTATAAGCGGAAATTTTAGGGGGAACTGTAGTAAATTTGAGAACTAAAATTGAAATCGAAGACTGGCTCTTAATCAGTGGTATTTAATTTTTACATGCAAATTCAAAAAGGTTATTTAATCACCATATTAAAATGAGAAAAATATGGTGGGTGATATATTTGAATTTTGACGGATTTTTCCCTGTTAAAGTAGTGCCGATATAGTTCTGCATTCAGCATTTTTAAAAAAGGAATTCAATGCTATGCACTTGATTGCTTTTAAACCTTTGAAAAATATCATTTTATCGTAATCCAAATAAATTTTCGCCAGTTTAAGCAAAAATAAATGTAAATTATTTAAAATCTTAAAAGAAAAAAATTTACATTATAAATTGCCTATACAGAATTTATAATCATATTATTTTATTTCCTTAAATTTTTGAGAAAAATTCTTAAAATTTCTTAATGGTACCAAGCGCCATTTCTTTCAATCTAATTAAGTTAACCCTTTATTTTTCATTATGCGTGCATAATTAAAAATGAAGAAAGCTTTAACGGCTTTTTCCGTAGTAACATGTAATTTTCGAATTTTCAGGGGTGGGTTTTATGCTATTTATTTAGAGTGGCAGTTGCTTGAAATTACGAAATCTAACAAAAAACATTCTTTTTCCAAAACAAACTTTTTTTTTCTTCGTCGGATTTGGATTTTTGAATCTCAAAACTCTTGATCGCCTGAATGCGGGAGAAATAAAATTAACAATAAGGGGGCCATAATTTCGCACACACTTTTACCAAGACCGTATTTAGCCAGGGCTAAAGAGAATAGAAGGGCTAGTTCATTCCGCTCTTAGAGCTGAAGCTACGATTTCACTCCTCATGACGTCACTGTATCCACAGATCTCGGAGATCGCAAGAAAAGATATTATGATAACTTAGCATCTTTCTCTTTGTAAAAATAAGTTTAGACTTTTTCTGGTTATTAGCTTTCAAACTTTACGTAATTAACACATTATTTCCGTTCAAAAACATAGTTCAAAAAAACTTTATTGGCCATTATATTAAAAAAAATACCATTTTAAACTTATAAAAATGTTTTACAAGTTGGCGAAAATGACACTATAAATACTTTATTTTAAAAAGTTCAGTTTTAACTTTAATTATTAAGAAAAATGAAAGCATGTATCGACACTTTTTTTATCTACATATTCTTTTATAACGATAAGTTAAGTTAAATTTAGAATCCCTGATTTTAAAATATGTCGTTAATAGCAATTTGTTCATACTTAATCATTAGGAAACATCAACCTTAAACGCTAATTACTGAAACAAAATAATAATTTAGGTTCATAATGACATTAGAAATTTTACAATTGTTTATAGACATTTAAATTTACGATGATATAATTTATAGATATTTAAATTGAAGAGAATATAATTTTTTAAAAAAATCATAAATATTTAGAATAACTACATTAAAAAATATGTTATGAAATTAGGAGAATTTCAACTATATACTATATATTTTATTTATACTTTTTACTTACATTTTAATTTTCTTTGACTTTATCTATTTTTTAATTCTTTTCACCTGCCTTTCTTTATGAAGTAGCGAGGCGGTTTCTATTTAGATAATGAATTTTTATAAAAGTTCTTTACGACAGAATAAACGTATTGCTGTTTTATATTAACTGTGTCATTTCGGAATCCATTCCTTACATAGTTGTTCATTTACTTTAGGGAACACGCGGAAAATTATATTTTTTCCTTTTGTTTTTCTATCAGAATTTTTGCAAGTTGCAATCGCGCAAACTAGCACTTCGATAATAGTTTTAAATTCTTGTAAATTCACTGCAAAAACTGAGGAAAGTCATCATAGAAAATAACAAATGTCTTAGCTCCAATATTAGTTAGAGCTAATAAGGCCGAACGCTCCGTTCTTGAAGTAAAAGTGCGAGCTTTGCGCCAAAGTGACGTCACTAGAGAAAATCGGAGGATTGGCGCGGCGAGAGTTTCTTCAAAAGAGTGAACCAGCCCTTCTATTCTCTTTAGCCCCGGTATTTAGCAGATTATAGCCTTCCACCCCCCTTTAAGTTGATGAATCTGATTAAAAAGTGCGTGAAAAAAATGCGTGTATTCAGATAGAGTACTTTTTGTGCCTGATTTTGTCCCTTATATTGTCTGTTCTAATTAATTAACATACATTCACCCCACAAAATATTACAATTTCACGTTAGTTCGTGAAAATCTCTTTATTTAATCAAAAGTAATTAAGGAGCTGCATATTTTTAAAATTTTATCTGTACGTATAATTTAATAATTAAATTATTAAAACCAAATTTTTGTGCTCTTCTTATTGTTTAATTTTTCAAACAATCTTCACAATAATTTGGCATTTTTTTGTGAATATGTTTTATGTCTCAGTACCGTAGGATATATATTTGATGATTTGCCGCGATCAACATATTATTTTAATTATAATGATAAATATAAAATTTCATCTCACCTGCCATAAAAAAATTTGGTTACTAGAACTAACTTCAAACGTTGTCAAAAATTTTAAATTGTATACATTTTTTTCCAGGGAGTGAATGAAGAAATTTTACCAATTAATATCATTAGAGGTCTTTAAATTCATCATAAAAGTGCTGTGAATTCGATATATGAATTATAGTAATAATGTGATTAGAAAATAAATTACACATTGGGACTAATTGATTGAACGAAATTGTAACTATAAGTCTCAAGTGTTTATATTTCTGATAAAAAAAATAATGTTTACTGTTATTGTGTCATATTAAATTATTAATCGATAATGAATAAAAGATTTTAAATATTTGTTTTTATTTAATTTATTGACACAGTAAATTTTATACAATGGAGACACGTTTACTAAAGAACTTATTTATATAAGCAAATGAATCTAAAGCTTAGTGTATGTAAGTGCCGCCTTGCTGAATTTGTAAACTGCTGTTTAGTTGAAACGTTGGAAATGGAAAAATTGTGGTATTAAAACTGCTTTAATAAAAGAATGTTGATTATGAATTTTTTATAATAAAAACTATACTCCGTTGCAAGTTAAGAAAAGAACATTGCGAAATAAAATTTCAGTAATCATTAGCTACACAGTTCTGTTTAATTTCGTTATCAAATTATACAAATATGCTTTCAAAGCAATATAAAAGCTTTTAAAAGTTAAACACGCCATACAGAAATTTAATTCATGCTATCTTTAATGATATAGGGGAGAGTCGGGTATCCCCGCCCACTTAAGGAGTATTGCTTATATTTCTGTATAATATTGAGTAATAATCAATATTTTTGTACGTTTCTACTGTTTTACCATCTAATTAAATAACGCAAAAAGAATAAACCAAAAAAAGAATAGTTTAACTTAGAAAAATAGAAATTTTAAAAAACATGTTTTTCAGCTCTTTTCAAAATGTGTCGGGTAGCCCACCCAGTTACAAAAATTATATTTTTTGACTGTTTTTTCAGGTGTAAATGAAAGTGACCAATGTATTGACAATAGATAAATCTCATTTAACATTTTGATCATAAAATTATTTTATTTATTACATATTTATATACTTTTAGTGAATTTAATAACAACAACATTTGTTGCTAAAAATGCATATAACATTCAAATTTGAAGCAATAAAATAATAATCTTTGCAACCGTACATTTATAGACGAAATAAAATTGGGCGGTGATACCCGACATTCGTGTGAGCGGACTACCGAAATCCAATTTTTTTGAAAATTTGTAATTACTCGAACAATTTTTCACATATAAACTTCTTTCTTCTTGCAAATTACACTTAAGACTAAATACTTTAATGCTGCGTGTATAGAAAAAATTATTTTTTTAGTATTAAAATGAAGTTTAATCGAAACATTCAATCAATTTTTCTTAATTTCATGACTACTGTATTCAACATATTTTCAAAACTATAGTTTACCGTGTTAACAGCTGCATAAATACTTGAAACTTTGAAAATGATCTTCTTTTAATATAAAAAGTAATGTCCAATGACCCATTGACTTGAAAAAATATTCCATACATATGAAATTGACTGTGGGCGGGGGTACCCGGCTCTCCCCTATATCATAGAATTATCAACAAAGCAAAAGGTTATAATACCGAAGTCTTACTAGAATCTTAGATTTGGCGATATATTTCGATAAACAAGGAAAACATTCGTTCTCAAAAAATGCATAACGTTGTAAGAGCATTTGGTTTGATTGGACCACTGAAAATGGCGTGTCTTATGCTGACATGCTCTTAACAAATCAAATGAATAAAGAATTTTTACTTTTGCTTCGCTGTAGAACAAAATCGCCGGAAACAAAGTTTATTATTCGTTCATCAGTTTCTTTAAATGCGAACAGAAATACATATATTTGTCGCGATTTTCAGATACCATTTTTATTAATTCTTATTACTTGTCAATTGATTATTGTTGCTAATAAGAAAGCAAGCAAAGAGGGGACAATGCAACGTCGTTCAAGAGTTGGAGATATTGATATCCGTTCGTGCTGAGAGCTTGGTATTCATTTATCTTACACCTAGATGCAAACAGGCTCTTTAAATAGGAATAATGGTCTTTTCTTAACTTCAAGACAATAAGAGAGTATAATAAAATGAAATTTGAAAGAGTATATTGATATTGAGACTAAAAAGTTGATTTACTTGACTTACTTGAATTTTTGTTTCCATAAGTACAATTAGCAAGGTTTGTATTTGAACGATTCAATTGAAAACAAATAAATCCCCTCATTAATTGAATTTATATTTCAAACTGGCAATATTTAGCACACTCTGAGGATCATTATTTTGCGAAATTATTTAATTTTAAATATTTTGTAATTGGAATATTTCTGGTTAGTATAAGGTTATTACCAAAAAACAGTTCTAGATAACAGAATTATTCTTTTGTAGGTTAGTTGAAATTTTAACAATAGAAAAAAGTCTTATATTGAATAAAGATATTGCCAGAGGGTTTCGGATGAAAATAGCGCGTATGCCCATGGTAACGATTTCTCAATCCAGTGGCCTTTATCGACCACGTTCACCTACTTAACATTTTTTAAATAAAACAAAATTGATTCTTGAACTTGAGGTAGTAAATTTTGAAAGAAAAAGATAGCCTGTACTATAATTGGAACCAACTACAGCAAAAAGGAAATACTCCAAAAAAAGAGAGTAAATCGTTAAAAGCCGCTAAATTGTAAATAAGTGTCCCGGTAACTGACTGTACACCATTCCCCAAGATTATAATTGCACATATAGCACGCACATCGCTACATATACTTATCGAACTTTTAGACAGATTCAGAATGAAGAATTCATTCATTTTGAAAAAATTACGATCTTGAAGAAAGAACAGATTTTTAAACCTGTGTAAACCTACACATATTGCATTCTTAAAAATGACTCAGAGCACTCGTATGTTGGACTAAAAAAGTTCTAACATTCCTGTTACTATGCCAACGCTTTTAAATTTTAAAATATGCTGTTTTGAATCGTAACCACTTGCACTGGAAAGACGTGCCATGAACGTTAAGATGCTTTTGTCTCAAAATCGTCAAAGACGTGCTTATACGTGTCGGCAGACAATTATTACAGAAAATAAAATAAATGAGCGTTTCACAGAAATAGGAAAGATTGTTCCGATTTCTAGGAGGCGATGAAAACTCAATGCCTCTCAGCAAGTTGCAGTCATCTGGACTTTGGTAAACGCATCTGTAAATTTCTTGCTTACGCAAGTAGTTAATTATAACCATGAACTAGATATTTTAGAAAGTTTCACCATTTTTTGCAAATAAGGACAAAATTGTATGCAAAAAAAACTGTTTTCAATTTTTATCTAGTATTTAGAAAAACTTGTTTAAGTGATATTGTTCCTCACTTTTCTCATCAGCCCTTTCCTTCTCATTTTTCCTGTTTTGCATCCTCGTGTGGTCCCGTAGTGGACTGATCGTTAAGACACGGTTCCCAGCAGATCACCCAAGTCAAGGGCAGGTGGTGTTGCTTTTAGGCAACGGAGTACCTATGCACTAGGCACGCACCTCCGATCGAAATATAAATGAAAAAAAGATGAAATAGGGGGTCTGTTAATCTAATAAATTAAAAATAAATTGTAATAAAAGAGGGGGGGGTAGGTCTAGCTAAGTAAGTTCATCATGTGGAAAAGAATAGCCGATGACATCCATCATCATACACTTCTACCTTCCCAACTTCAAAAGAAAAAGGATTGCATTTTTATTGAGAGAAAACAAAAAAGGAGATTACAAAAGGGGGGGATTACAAAGTGGTACATTGGATAAATACATGTAGTTATAACAGGAGAACAAAATGTAAACATAGAATCAGTGTTGTAAAATCCTTGAGTAACATAAATAGAAGAGAGTGATTACAATAATCTGAATTATGTAGCAGAATTGTAGTAAACATAAAAATTTCAATATACAATTATAGCAAAGTAAAGGAAATTAAAAGTGTAGTACTAAGGTAACTAATGGTATGAGCAGAAGATGGCGCCACTATGACTGTATTTATAATATTTTGGTTCATGCATACCATAACAAAGCAGTGATAATTTGAAAAACAAGCGACAAAAGGCAGTTAAAAATTTATAATGAAGTATAAGATGTCTAGTATATTAATATTTTTGTATGGAATGAATGGGTTGTGCGATTGGTAATAACAAATCACCGAAGTCAAGCATCACTGGCTACGGTCAGTGTGCGGGTGGGTGACCACTTGGATCAGTCTGCGTAGAGACCAAGGGTGTGCGGTATTGGTCCTCGTTAAACTGTGCTACCGTAAAGTGTTCGACTTCGCGCGCAGGTCGTCGGGCTACCGAAGCAGGGGCGCCATCCCCTCCGCAGAGGATCAAAATTGTGATGGCATGTCTTCGGATCATTTTCCGGGATGTTTCCCAGACCATCGCCAATAGCCCATTGTGTAGCTCTAGTGCGACGTAAATTAACAGCAGCAGCATCCTCGTGTGCGTCTTTACCCTTATCACTTCGGGCTGATCGTAAGACAAAAGTTTTCAATTGATCGCCGAATATAGTCACCATTTGCTACGGTCATTGAGCGGGTGGATGACCACTTTGATCAGCCAGTGCAGAAGGAACAAAGGATGAGCGGCATTGGTCCTCGTTACAATGTTCCACCGTAAAGTCGTCGACTTCGTACTCTTCGTTGGTCATCGGACTACCAAATGGAAAGCCATCCTCACTGCAGGGAATCAAAATTGTGATAACGTATCTCAGGTCTTTCTCAAAGATGTTTCTCCGAACATCGCCAATAATCCATTGTCCTGTTCTGGAATAAAATGCAGTCACACTCGTCCGACAGTCCATTTTCCTCTCCTTGTTTGAATTAAATACCGGATAAAGGAAAAGCGTAATGTTGTAGTATTTTGTATATAGTGTCTTAAGATGTCTAAAATGCTCAAGATTTTATGATAGAGTTACGTTGTTTTATCGTGAATCGAACCTGCGTGATCATTTTATTTACATAAAGGCGCGTGGCGAAAGTTAGTGTGAATGTGTTTCTTGTGAATCTGTACAGTTATACAATGAGTGTTTTTATGCAATTTAAAAGATTGGGAGCTAAATAAACTAAGCCAACGAAATCCCGTGAGGTTGCCTTTCTGCCCATTGTTCCAAGACTGTAGAAGGCGATGGGTTCAACTTTTGAGATAACTCAGGAAATTTTACCGATCTTTTCCTTTAACTAAGATTGGTCTTACTTCAAGCGCGTATATCGTATTGTTCGTTTAAAAGGCGGTAT